ACCCACGAGCACGGGTATGGTGCTGACAACCCTAGAAACATAATCGGGGCGAACCGGGATTCGAAGCCACAATCATAGGTTTCTGGCGAGCCCAAGGGACGCAACTCTGCACAGCGAATCGCGGCCCCCTAGACGACTGGGCCACCCGTGCCCCCACTGACAAAGATTTCCAGACGTTGGCTAATTTAGCCCCTGCAGACCTTTCCAGCTCGGAAAAGGACCGTTTAATGGAACTCTTGGCATCCACACTACCCGATGGTTTGTTTGACATTATTACCTTTAAAAGTGATCCTCGACTCTTTGTTTAATTTAAGATTACACTAGATATTACATGAATTCAAACTTCCATATATACTTGATAATGCAAATTGTTCTAAATTTATATAATCATGCACTAAATGCTGTTTAGTACAAATAAGTGTTTAAGAATTGTCACCACCCTACCGTGAGTTAAATAGATATATTGGGCAACAGCAAAGAACCTGTTTTGATGTCCACAATCATATGAACAATTTCAAGTTTGGAATTATTTCTAGTTCCTGCGGCAGCAGCAACAGCAGCAGCATCACTTTCAGCCTCTCGTCATCACAGCACAGCAGTTCTAGAACCTGGTGTTGAGGTTATTCAGTACTTCAGTGTTTCATCTAAAGGCATGCTGGGTTAATTAAAGTGATGTCGCGATTCACCGGTAAACCGGTGCATCGTCGGCAGACCTTGAACGATACGATACCCGATACATTAAATTGGCCATCGATTCACATTTAACCCCATATCGATTGTTCATGATGATCTCTCATCGATCAATAAACCTATGCTGGTCGTAAGAGGCGACTAACGGGACCGGGTGGTTAGCCTCGCTGACTTGGTTGATGCATGTCATCGTATCCCTATTGCGTAGATCGATGCTCTTGATGTCAATCACTGGATTGTATGATCCAGACTCGATTATTTACAGACCGCCGTGATATAGATGGAGTTTTGCAGGGTGCGGCGTAAAACAACAAACAAACAAAGCATAGTTAGGTACCCCTGGGGACTGGGTTAGTATATTGTCTCCAGCATGCCGTTGCGTGTGAGTTGCGACTAAATGGATGGAGTGGTCAGGCATGGTGAAGTGATTTATTACCTGTCATGTGCCGGAAAGCTTGGGACACATTATCAACCATTTTCTTGTCTAGCCCAGATTCGATTTATTACAGGTCGCCGTTATCTTATTGAAATATTTCTGGTTTACTTGATGTATAGACAGCTCAAATCCCAACCCATGTGTAAAATGAAAGCCAGTTTTTTGTGGATGCCCAGGGACATTGCTCATTGATTGTGTAAAGGGAGATAACTCGATGGGAGAAGATGTTATACACATCCTCCATAAATGACATTAATTTATTGTTTCATCTAAGTTAGAAGACCAGTAGATTCATATGTTGTGCAGTGACTTTTACACCATTTTTAGAATTTCTGGGTTTTTTATAACCCGATGTGAACAAATATTGAAAACTCGCAACATCGCTGGGCTTATTCAGTGACATCGCGTGTAGTGGTGATAATCACTGAAGGGAGCTCATGCACACTCAAGGAACCCCCGCAACCCTGTGGCTAGGCTTACGTCACAGGACATTATTTTGGCGGTGTATATGTCAACAAAATGTCACAAATTAAGTCAAGGGATATTGTGACGTATTTGTGGTACTGTATTCTAAAGGTACATGTAGGCCGAAATGATTCAGATTACACCAGCAGACAAGCAAGATGAGATTTCTTCCTCATCTCAGAAAAACTCTTCTTTTGCCACAAAATCAAAAATCACTGCAGATTATAGAACTGATCATTCAATTATTGATCTGAGGTTTTCATTTCTTTCTTGACCAAAGCTAAAACATACTGGAAATTTAATACTTCTTTATTGAAAGATAAGTATTACATAGATCTAGTGAAAGAAATTATTTCAAAGGTTAAAATCGCAGTATATTATGGTGATACTCGCAATATAAATGAAATACCTAATCAAGAAATTCAGTTTAATATAAATGATCAATTATTTTTTTAAGTCCTGCTGCTGGAAATCAGAGGAAAAACAGTTTCTTATTCTTCCTTCAAGAAAAAAAATATTGAAAAAGAACAAAATCTGATTCAACAGTTCGAAATTCTTGAAACTTCTAGTGATATTAATTTTGATGATTTGGAAGATAAAAGAAAAGAATTAGGGGAAATTAGGAATCACAAGATGGCTGGATTTGCCATAAGAAATAAGTGGATTATGGATGGTGAATGAGTTAGCAGTTATTTCTGAAACCTTGAGAATAGGAATTTTGTCAGCAAGTCTATGACTCATTTTGAGTTAAATGATGGCACAACATTGCTAAATTCAAGTGACATTATTGCTGTAGCAGCCAATTTCTATGATAATTTATACAGTTGCAAAGAACACATGGTGATTTGAATTCCCTGTTGGGTAGAAATTCTCTCCCCTTTTTAAATAAAAATGATGTGAAAGAGATGGAAGATCTATTAACTCTTGATGAACTGGCAAAAGCTTTGAAGAATATGCAAAATAACAAAAGCCTTGGCTCAGATGGCTTTCCAAATGAATTTTATAAGTTCTTTTGGAAAGATGTTGAACAGTTTTTATTGCGATCACTAAATTGTGGTTTAAAATCAGGTGAACTCCCTGTTACCCAGAACTGTAGGTCTGTTTTCCAAAGAGGGACAAGCCAAAACGCTTCACAACTAACTGGTGGTCCATATCACTATTGAATGGTTCATATAAACTGGCATCTTCGTCCATAGCAAACAGAATCAATTTATAATTGCCATTTATCATTAATAAAGATCAGACTGGCTTTATGGCAGGTCGATACGCTGGTGACAATATTCACTTAATCTATGATGCCATCTCATGTACAGATAAAGAAAAAGAATCCTGGTTTGCTTCTTCATATAGACTTTGAGAGGGCATTTGATTCCATTGCTTGGTCATTTATGGACAAATCTTTATCCTTTTGAGGATTTGGTGAAAATGTAAGAAAATATGTATCTGTATTTTACAATGATATAAAAAGCTGTGTGTCCATCAATGTTCAGTTGTCATCTTGGTTTAATATCGGACGCGGTTGACCAATTATGACCGTATATATATTCCCTGTGCAGAAATACTAGCTAGTATGATCCGTTCTAACAGAGATGTCAAAGGTATCCCGGTGGAAGGGAGCGAGTATCTTCTTAGTATGGAATTATTACTTGATGTTAGTCAGTCCTCCTTTGTATTATGTATCAACTCTCTCAACTCAATTATTTATTGTTATCACTGCCTGATCCCCCAAATGATTTCTTGTTACTTTTAATGCTATGCTTTATAAAGTGATAAACGAGACAAAGTAAAGAGGATTACAGTTGTTCAACCTCTTAAGCAAGGGAGCTTGGGTATGGTTAATATTTTTTCATACGTAACATCTCTTAAAGTCACATGTATAAGGAGACTTGGGTTCGCAGGTGGTCAAAAATAGAAGCACCTATTTAAGTCTACATATCCGTATTGGAGTAAACTTGGTGAATTTGGTTTGTCGTTCTTTGAGAGAAAATTATCTTTGATAAGTAATGAGTTTTGGAAAAGTTGTTTTCAGTCATTTATAGTTTTTGAGAATCTTTCAGTAGTTTTTTAACTGAACCAATTTTTCATAACCCTAATATTAAAAATAATAGGAAATCATTTTCTTGAAATGCTGGTTTGAGAAGGGTGTCTATATTATAGATTTGGTCAAGGCCAATAAGGAGTTTCTATCATATGAGGAATTTAATGAAATGGGTGGCATTTGTTCATCCTTTTTAGAATTGTATGGTGTTGTCAGCAGCATTAAACAATACCTTAAAAGTCTAAATTTAGTTAAAGTTCCTACAGATTCTGTGGAGGACCAGCACTGTGTGGTAAAAACTATTTGTAGTTCCAAGTCCAGTTCAAAGCATATTTATTTTTCATTGGTTTCTACAAATGTAAATACTAAAGCGCAGGAAAAGTGGGAATTACAATTTGAAAACTTAAATTGGAACAATATTTGTAATATAATATTCAGTACAACACGGGACGTCAACTGCGATGGTTTCAAGACAAAATTACCAACAGAATTCTCACCGTCAATACTTTTCTGTACATACTCAACAATGTTCAGAATGATTTGTGCTCCTTCTGTCACAATGAAAAGGAAACAATTACTCACTTGTGTTGAGAATGTGATGTAATAAAACGATTTGGGGATGAAGTGTCAGTGTGGATAGATCAGTGCTTTCAAGTTTATAATATGACATTTTGTGCAGAATTGATACTTTTTTGAGTTAAAGAGAACATAAAAACAGATAAGGTGTTTGATTTACTTTTACTAATTGCAAAATTCTTTATTTATAGATGCAAATTCCAAAATACAAAAGCTTATTTTCATGTTTATAGAAAGGAAGCTTTTTCACGATGCGACATTGAAAAAGATATTGCTTTCAAGACAGGTAGTCAACAGAAATTCTGTGGTGCTGGGATGTTGTATCATCAACTTTTCGAAAATGAGGAGCAGCTTTCACTTTAATTTTAGTTATATACTTTAGACTTTAATGTTTGATACCATGTCCTGCACTGCAATATGATATATAAACTTAAATAGTTCATGTATATTTGATATATGCAGTATGTTTGTATTACAAGAGTGAATGTGTGAGTGAGAAACATGTTATTTTCTGTAAAAAAACCTAAGATGTACTGATAAGTTGTGCTATATGTCATGGGCTTTCTGCTACCCTGGGCTGAAGCACATTTTATGTAACAGGTAGTTCTTTTAAAAAACAATGAAAGAAAAAAAGATTACACCAGCAGATGCTTAAAACTTGCTACTTAGCTACGTGATGTAAGGTTAAAAAGACTAGAGGCGTGAACTTCCTTATTTGGAGTGAACTGGACCCATGACGTGATTATACGAAGTAGCCCGAGATTAGCACCATCGCCCCAGCGACCGTTGTCTACACATCGACGCCATTTTGTTGTTTATTGCAGTTGCAAATCTCACGTCTCTGCTCTAGTTTCGCTCTGTGTTTCTCCCATCTGCTGATTCCTGCACCATGTATGCAAGTGCTGCCAGGGTTTACCACCAAGGTATATTTGTGTGGGTTTTTTTAATCGATTTGGGTCTTTTTCGCTGAAAATTCCATTTCTAACCGAAGCCTACGAGCAGTCATACTAATGAAATATGATATAAATAAAGAAAATCATTCTCATCCTTATTGTCTATTATTAAAACAATAATCTATAGTATGAATTCTATTAAATAATAATGTAACTATTGTTATACATAATTGTGTTCTTGGAATTGTTTTGATTTCTCCTGGTTTTGATTTTAACAATTGTGAAGCCCATTTCTGGTGTCCCCCGCCGTGATATTGCTGGAATATTGCTAAAAGCGGCGTCAAGCCACACTCACTGACTCACTCTTTCTTATAATTGGTGCATCATCCTTGCCTAGGGGCGGTCAGGTAGCCTAGTGGTTAAAGCGTTCGCTCGTCACGCTGAAGACCCGGGTTCGATTCCCGACATGGGTACAATGTGTGAAGCCCATTTCTGGTGTCCCCCGCCGTGATATTGCTGGAATATTGCTAAAAGCAGCGTAAAACCATACTCACTCACTGACTCACTCTTTCTAATAATTGGTGCATCATCCTTGCCTACGATTCATTTTGACCCCAACCCAACAGTAGGCATTCAGTCTCAATGATTGTAATGACCTCATATGAATACACACCGTTGGGTGTTATTTTCGTACTCACGTAGATCTAGCATCCCTAAAATAAACGGCTGGGCAAAAGAAAGTATACACTTAAACATTGGATTTTTAGCCACCATCGTACATGGTTGTCTTTTTCCCGGCACTTTATTTCATTTCTGGGGCCCTATTTCTATAAGTTCGCTTGTTTTTCTTTTCTGTTTTAATTATTTCTGTCTTTGCTTGTTGAAGATGAATATGAGTGCACACAAAATAAAAATGATGTATCATTTGCAACAGATTATACTATTTTTTTTAGGTCACAAATGAATGTCATCTAAATCTCACCTAAAATCTTTGTTTTTCTCCCACAGGTCAAGACAAGCTCCACAAGAAAGGATGCCCCAGGCTGTCTCCCCAACAGTTCTTCCTGTCCCCCGCCCAGTAGGTCCCTTGTAGGGACACAACCTGTTTGTGATGTATATTCGTGGACATCTATAACATCCTTTTTATCCAGCTTATAACAAATCTATTGGCCTCTTCCTTGAACAAAGTATTCCACAACAATAGTTACCATGGCCAACCATGTAACATATAACTGCCATTACTTTGTTTGGTTTTTTTTTTGCTGTTATTTGGTGAAATCAAATCAAAACTAAACACTTGCCTTTTCTGTCTCCCCTCCCAGTGCCCCGATACTGAGTGGATGATCCGCATCAACCCCCTATCTGTCCTGCCCAACCCCCTGACCCCTGTCCCAGCCCCTACCAGCACTGCCTACATGGAGATTATTCTTGTGGACGAAGAAGCCCTGAGGCAGCCACGATCATGTGTCCCGACTGTGTTTTCTTTCCTGAAGAGTCTCTTCACTGTGTGTTAGGTGGACGTTTGAAATGGCACCTAATATCACAGTGGACATTTGGTGTACTTTCCCCTTTTAGACCTTTCGGACAAACCTTTTGGATACTTTCAATTTTGGACATTTTCGACAGTTAGTGCATATACGAAACAATTATAGTTTTAAAATTATCTATTAAATATGTGGTGAGCTCAAACGTGGTTCAGTTGTTTTATTCAGTCACCTGTCATGGAGTGCCTAGATGATATCATCTTTCAGTATTTTCCATATAAATTTATTTTATTAAATTTGTCTAAGTTTTGAAATATGTTTTGTTGTTTCTTCATTTAAGTACTTTCTGTCAAACTCTTTTCTCTCTTAACCCTTATGTTACATAAACAGAATGAGATGCATCTCCAGGGATGCAATTTAACCTGAAACATTTAGTAGCCTTAACGTGAGGTGGGTAGTGGTTGAGAGAGAGAGAGAGAAAGAGAGAGAGAGAGCTTTTGAACTGGCCCCTAAGTTTGTGCCTAATTCGTGCCAATCAGTGGTTCAGTGACGGCGACAAACTTATATTCTAAATCTCTCGTTTAGAGATAAGGTGACATGTCTAGTTTGAAATGGTGACGTTTCCAGTTTGAAATGGCACCAACGATCACAGTAGACATTTGGTGTACTCTCCCATTTAGGACCCTTTCGGACAAAAAATTAATTATTGACATTTCTAACGGTATCTATAAACGAAAAAAATATCATTTTGACATAACTTATTAAATTATTGTTTCAAATGTGGTTCAGTGTTTAATTTATTTAACCTTCGAGTGTCCAGTTGATGTCTTGCAGTTGAATCCGAAGAAAACCATTGAACGGAAACAAAGAAATGTCATATTCGGTATCCTCCCATTACTTACATGTCCCATTCGTCACACACCTTACAACAACTTCTTTTAAAGGCTTTTAGAAGTTGGAGTACTAAGTAAGGCTAAGAATTTATGGATGAACAACTTCTTTATTACTTTATTAATTGTAATAAAGAAGTTGTTCATCCATAAATTCTTATCCTTACCTTAAACCAACATAGGTTATGGCTGAATGCACTGACTGGTTCACCCTGTGTTACCTAATCCAAGAAAAGTAAGAAAAGTAATCCTGTACTTTGGGGGTCATTATCAAAACGTGTACCCCTTTTTGTCCTGTTAAATAAACAAAAATAAAACTTGAAAATTACAACTTTAAGCGATTTATCAAGAAACATCTTAACCTAACAAATAGTTGGGTAAATTATGCCAACACAAAGGAACATAATTTTGGCACATTTTAAATATTTTCACGTCACAATAATCTTTCGGTAGGGAATGATGCACTACAGGTAATGTTGCATATTTGCAATGGCATCAGGCAATACTGTTGAAGTGTGGTAACGCTGAGGACACGTTTAGTAACACCAAAGACATTAAAGAGCAACATATAAACTCATGTATATCACTTAAAGTCTGAAATATGTTCACTGTAAAAAGCATTCGGTGTCTATGACAGGGATATTTCAACAATTTCAGACTATATACAATTAATTATATCACCAAAGAATATGTTATTTTTTCATATACATATTGTTGTACACAGATTAACCATACATTCAATACAGATTATTACATTTCACAATAACATTTGTGCTAAAACTCATGCTTGGCAATCATGTTGTATACCTGGGTCTCTGTGGTAATCCTATGTACTCCAGTTAGGACTGATCCATTACTCATCAGGTGTTGTCTACTTAATCCCTCCCTGGCCTCCTCCCAGGCCGTGTAACAACTGGGAATATAGACGTGTGTGACAAATGGGACGTGTAACTGATGGGAGATAACCCTATATTCCATAAGGTACAAAGACAATGTCATAAACAGCAACCGCACATGCAAAATATCCACAATATAGTAAGAAAAAAAGAAGTAAATAATTCAGTGTCTCACACAACTTCTTAACTTTCATACCAATATAGGTTTGTTAAACCTTTCTCCAAATAATTGAGAAAACATTGTTGGAATCACAAGCCGGTTATTTTAATCTCAATGAATCCTATACTTTATCTTTTAAATGACCTGAAAATGGAACTGATTTTTCAAAACTATTTCATAAAGTAATACCACACATTCGCTAAGGTGAGCATGGTCAACCCATAAAAACTAGGTCTATGATACAATTTACTGAACATGAAAAATTAGAAAGCTCCGGTAAACTTTAAAGGTTTTGCTCATTTCTGGAGTTATGTCGATCCTGTGGGCCACAATGGACCCTTATCGATATCACAGCTTGTCATTTCGGTACGGTTTGCATGTCAGTAGCGTTAGAAGTTAAACCTAGGCTGATAACATTGTGGAATCACAATAGGATGCAGAAGATCACCCCCAGACTATGAAAGTCTTGTTTCCACCCTTGGTCATAGAAGTGTAGCAGGGCGTGGAGTAATCCCACAGATGACATCCTTACCTTGTCCGTGTAGCAGGGCGTGGAGTCATCCCACAGATGACATCCTTACCTTGCCAGTGTAGCAGGGCGTGGAGTCATCCAACAGATGACATCCTTACTTTGTCAGTGTAGCAGGGCGTGGAGTCAGCCCACAGATGACATCCTTACCTTGTCAGTGTAGCAGGGCGTGGAGTCAGCCCACAGATGACATCCTTACCTTGTCAGTGTAGCAGGGCGTGGAGTCATCCCACAGATGACATCCTTACCATGTCCCCTTGCTGACGGGGTTAACCTCTTTGGTCATCTGGACAAAGCGTCCGACCTCGGATCAGAAGGGCCGTGGTTCGAATCCCATCATGGAAATTTTATGGCCGCTACAGAAGGGTTATTGCTCGTAATCGCCACTGGTGGCGCTACGATCGAAACCCGTGAAGATCCGGGGTAGAATAGGTCTTCAGGAACCCATGCTTGCCGTAAAAGGCGACTATGCTTGTCGTAAGAGGCGACTCACGAGATCGGGTGATCAGGCTCGCTGACTTGGTTGATGCATGTCGATCCCAATTGCGTGGATCGATGCTCATGATGTTACAATGATAAACAATGCATTTATTTGTTTGTTTGTTTGTTTGTTTGCTTGACGCCACTGTTGGCATGTTGTCCATCTTGAGGGAATATGAGTTCACATCACCTAAAAACTGGCATTTATTTACATTGGCAGTGTGCATTATTGAGCACATAGTCAACCCACATCTTCTAATTACATGTACTTTAACCTATAAAAAATAGGTGAACACCGTCCAGCAACAAAATTCACTTCAAGCTTTGACGCTTGTCGTGGATATAGAAGTAATGTGAGTGAGTGAGTTGGGTTTAACGCCGCTTTTAACAGTATTCCAGTTATATCACGGCGTGTCAGCTTAATGTGGGAGGAAAGCCCGAAGTGATGCAGGTCTCAGACGTTTACCACTTCGGTGAAACCCACGAACACAGGTATGGTGCAGACAAACCTAGAAACATAATCGGGGCGAACCGGGATTCGAACTCACAATCATAGGTTTCTGGCGTGCCCAAGGGACGCAACTGAGCACAGCGATTCGCGGCGCCTCAGACGACTGGGCCACCCGTGCCCCCGTGTCGGAATGAACAAACGAACGAATGTATGACTTGTTTATTATAGCATTACGCATAAAATTACATGTACAGATATATACATAATAAGACAATGCAGGGCCTTATCACGCAGATGAGACACCTACACATGTGTACATACAGATAAATTATTTATGTGGTATTAAACATTTTTATGTACTTTTTAAATTATACGTAAGAAGATATAAAAAAGCATATGACTTTAAGACATTTATGACGAGAGAACACTTGAAAACACATTTTAATCAATTGTTATTTTGTTGTAAATTTTCATTTTTAACATCTTGGGGGTTATTGACATACCGGATTGTCTCGCTTTTGTCTCCGAAAGATAAAGACAAATGAACATGGCGCATTTTCAATATAAAATGCAGCTTGGTCACTTTGAGATCATGATTGTTGATTTGGTATAATTGTGGAAGTGAGGCACATTGGTCAAAGCCGTTTTGTGAAATATTATTTCATAAGCGCGGATATATAAAACATTTTTCGGAACCGAGCCATTCAGCAATAGTGTTGAAAATATATTATCAAATGAGTGTTGTTATATCTACTTTTAGTGAATACCAGTTTGCCTGTAAAATTTCCGATTGCATTAATGTTAGGTTTGCTGAGATCTCTGTGTGTACGGAGACAAGACCTTTCTCCAAGTAAATGCTTCCTTTATTGGAAAATAAATCATGTGTGATGCTATGGTAGCCTTATCGAATGTATTCCCAGCATGTCTGCTAAGCTGACACTAGCAAATGAATGTCAACACGGGAGGGAGATGTGGGCGGATGACTAAATTGCACCTTGAGTTATTGGGGGTGACGTCGACAACAGTGGAGTGGGATCAGTGTTGCTACCGGCTCAAAGCCGTCAGTCAGTCTCATGTCTGTATTGTGCAAGCAGTCAGTCAGTCTTCTGTTGGTATTGTGCAAGCAGTCAGTCAGTCTCATGTCTGTATTGTGCAAGCAGTCAGTCAGTCTTCTGTTGGTATTGTGCAAGCAGTCAGTCAGTCTCATGTCTGTATTGTGCAAGCAGTCAGTCAGTCTTCTGTTGGTATTGTGCAAGCAGTCAGTCAGTCTCATGTCTGTATTGTGCAAGCAGTCAGTCAGTCTTCTGTTGGTATTGTGCAAGCAGTCAGTCAGTCTCATGTCTGTATTGTGCAAGCAGTCAGTCAGTCTTCTGTTGGTATTGTGCAAGCAGTCAGTCAGTCTCATGTCTGTATTGTGCAAGCAGTCAGTCAGTCTTATGTTGGTGTTGTGCAAGCAGTCAGTATAGTCTTAAGTTGGTATTGTGCATTCAGTCAGTCAGTCTTATATTGATATTGTGCAAGCAGTCAGTCAGTCTTATGTTGGTATTGTGCAAGCAGTCATATAGTCTTATTTCGTATTGTGCAAGCAGTCAGTCTTATGTTGGTATTGTGCAAGCAGTCAGTCTTATGTTGGTATTGTGCAAGCAGTCAGTCAGCCTTATGTTGGTATTGAGCAAGCAGTCAGTTAGTCTTATGCTTGTATAGTGCATGCAATATACCACCCTAAATGTTCTTATTTTTGTTTATGTTAAATCTTAACTGAACAACAATTAAATGAGACAATAAAAGTCGGGTGTACTGACGTAAGTAACCTATCCGGAGGAAAACGACACATCTGGCCCCTAATGACTATAGACAAGGCCCCAGTACTTCAAGTTTATCTAAGACGACTAATAGCCTTACTGGTTTCGTGAAACGTTGCTCATGATAAAATGTATATCAGTCATTATTTATGTTGACGTCATGTAACTGGAATATTAATTGCTGACCGCGGCGTTAAACGTTCATACTTAAATTACCCCTCCTGGTAAAAATCAGATACTTGCTATCGTAACTTCAATTTGTTCAACGATGTGACTGGGTGACGCCCTTTTGAACAGTATATTCCTGTTATATCAAAGAGGAAAGCCCGAATTGATGCAGGTCTCAGACGTTTACCATTCTGTGAAACCCACGAGCACGTGTATGGTGCTGACAAACCTAGAAACATAATCGAACTAACCGGGATTCGAACAAACAATCATAGGTTTCTGGTGTTCTAAGGGACGCAACTCTGCAAAGCGAATTGTGGCGCCTTGGGCGACAAGACCACCATGTAAACCTTATGTTCGAGGTTTAGTACAAAAGGTGCGTGCCCTTCAGTTCATTGTGACTATATTTAGCGGCGTGTGCAGGGTACGTACAGTACCAGCTCGAAGTGAAAGAAAAGTACGTGCAGATGCAGTGTTAAGTTCACTGCTAATAGATCTATAACCGCTGGCTGTCATCTCACCCCACAAAATATTCAATGATGTCTTTTTTTAATCGGTAAGAAAATAGACATTTCTCGAAAAGAGCACTTTGATTTTTTTTACATTAGTATGTGACATTCCTTATCGGCGGAATGGCTTGTTTTCACTTTATAAGTACAAGCACACATTCAGCTATCTTCGTTAATTAATCATAACGATATTTCATGATTCAATTTTTCAAGTCCACGAGAACTTGGTCGAGATGATGTTATACCGGTTTCGGGATCCTTTGTTTGACCTGATTTCGATTCCTTCCAGTCCATCGCAGGAACGTCCGCTAACCAGTCTAAGATAGCACAAAATGACGCGAGATTACTAGCATCCCCATAACAACCGTCCTAATCCAAACGACGCCATTTTGTTGTTTATTGCTGTAGCAAATCTCACGACTCTGCTCTCATTTCGCTCTGTGTTTCTCCTATCTGGTGATTTCTGCATCATGTATGCAAGTGCTGCCAGGGTCTACCACCAAGGTATAATCTGTGTTCTTTATTGTCTCGGGTTTGTGTTTTTATGTTCTAAATTCCAATATTCTAGTCGAAGCCAACGATCAGTACTTAGCCCTAGGCCTAGTGAGTGATGCTATTTTCAAAAACAGCTAATTTACATCTTTTTATATCTACTAATAAAGAAAAAGTGGTCGATCTATTTTCTTGGCCTTTTCTCAGATTCCCAATGGTCTTTTCGTTTGTTTGTTTGGTGCCTGCGATCCAGTGGATTGAATAATGTGAACGATAATCATATGGATTGTCGGATTGTTGCCTATTCTGATGATATCTTTTCCGACAATTTAAGGACTGAGTCTAAGGCGAATCTGAACCTGAATCTGATCTGAATCTGAATTAGTCATGAACCCTGTGTCTTTCGTATTTATTTAGCCTAATTACTTATTTTCCTTCCACAGCTCAAGACAAGCTCCACAAGAAAGGATCTCCTCTGCAGACGGTCTCCCCCGTCGCCATTCCTGTCCCTCGTCCAGTAGGTTGTGTGTAGGGGAACAACATGTTGGGACTTGGTTGATGCATGTCATCGATCCCAATTGCGTGGATCGATGCTCATCATATCAATCACTGGATTGTCTGGTCCTGACTCGATTATTTACAGACCGCCATCATATATAGCTGGAATATTTCTGAGTGTGGCGTTAAACAACAAACAAACAAACAAACAAACAAACAACATGTAGGGAACACAACCAACTGTGCATTCACGGAACCTGTAACAAGCTTGAATTACACGTTACTTTCAAAATTATTCAACAAGTCGATATTCTCACATATAGCCTAGTAGACTTGCGGGACATGGTACATTGAGTCACGTTTCGCTACCCTCGTTATTTTTACCATTCTAGTCCGTTGTTTCATTACTTATTTGTGTAATCAAATAGAGGCTTCTTTTCTGTCTCCCCTCCCAGTGTTCCGATACTGAGTGGATGATCCGCATCAACCCCCTATCTGTCCTGCCCAACCCCCTGACCCCTGTCCCAGCCCCTACCAGCACTGCCTACATGGAGATTATTCTTGTGGACGAAGAAGCCCTGAGGCAGCCACGATCATGTGTCCCGACTGTGTTTTCTTTCCTGAAGAGTCTCTTCACTGTGTGTTAGGTGGACGTTTGAAATGGCACCTAATATCACAGTGGACATTTAGTGTACTTTCCCTTTTGGCACCTTTCGGACAAACCTTTTGGATACTTTCAATTTTGGACATTTTCGACAGTTAGTGCATATACGAAACAATTATAGTTTTAAAATTATCTATTAAATATGTGGTGAGCTCAAATGTCGTTCAGTTGTTTTATTCAGTCACCTGTCAAGGAGTGTCTAGATGATATCATCTTTCAGTATTTTCCATATAGATTTATTTTATTAAATTTGTCTCAGTTTTGAAATATGTTTTGTTGTTTCTTCATTTAAGTACTTTCTGTCAAACTCTTTTCTCTCTTAACCCTTATGTTACATATACAGAATGAGATGCATCTCCAGGGATGCAATTTAACCTGAAACATTTAGTGGCCTTAACGTGAGGTGGGTAGTGGTTGAGAGAGAGAGAGAGAGAGAGAGAGAGACTTTAGTCTGTGTGGATATACATCGATCTTTTGAATTGACCCCTAAAATTGTGCCTAATTCGTGCCAATCAGTGGTTCAGTGTCCAGGACAAACTTGTATTCTAAATCTGTCCTTTAGAGATAAGGTGACGTTTCTAATTTCAAATACATGGTATATTTTTCCCCAAATAGATGAGTAGATTTTATAAATGCATATATGAATATTCATATGTAGCTTTTATGGGTTCGGATTATTATGTTAAATAAAAGCCATGAGGATGCTAGTTTAATCTGTCGCCCAGACTCTAGAGAATAAATAAAAAACCAATTCAGGTTTAGAATGATTTGGCAAGTCTAGATTACCTCAGCTCTAGGAAATTAAGGATTGTTGCTCCGTTTGGATTTTAATTGGTTTTTTTTATTGTGCAGTATAAATTTTTGATAAGATTTAACTTTATTTCTGGGACTAAATGTCAGTCTAATTCCGGTTAAGAGAGGACACAAGCAACCTATGCTTGTTGTAACGAGGCGACTTTATTAGATGGGGTGGTTAGGCTCGGTGACTTGGTTGATTCCCCGTCAGACCTCGACGGCATGCATCGTTGCTCATCATATCAATCACTTTATCACAGTTTATCTGGTACAGACTCAATTATTTACAGTCCGCCATCGCATATAGCTGAAATATTTCTGAATGCGGAGTTAAACAACAAAGAAAGAAATACAATTACAAAGACATCCAATTAAGAGATTGATAGATACGCTTTCACCAAAGTACACAAGACATAATCGCCAAGCCTTTACATCGAATAACAAAGCGAACGCACTTATATAAGCGTTTGATTATGAAAGCCACTGTTACAAGAAAATCAATAGATTTAATGCAATAGAATATAACGGGAACACTAGGGATTCCCATGAATAACATTTAGTTTGACCACTTTTCGGTTGGATCGTGGAATTAACCAGACTAGTGGTCACTGATTGTCCGAGCCAGCCCAATGACCACAGTCCATTAGGGTCTTGAGTGGTCATTAAGGCGCGGACGCGTCCAATAAGTTCTACATCGCTTGCTAGATCAATCCAAATTAGCTTTAGACTTAACTCGTCTTGACTGATATGCTCGGGGTCAGACAGTCATACGATAGCATATCATCATCGCTATATATGCCATACATCTGATAGATGTATGAACGGTTTATAATTTACTTGGACTCTTGTTTATGTTAGCATGATTGTTTTTGACAAATGACAGGTCCCAGTATCGTATAATTTTCTTTAGGTCTCGATAATTATTTTGCAAATGGAAGTGTATGTATTTATAAATGTTTATTTATACGGTTTTGGTAATGGTAAAAAAGAATACCGCTCTATTCTGTACTGCGAATGGTGAGACGCGTTTTCCCATAGCGATCTCACTGAAAGGACAGTTGATGTTAATGAATCTACATTTTATGTCCGCTTCCTCCTTTTCGTCACAGTAAACCGCTGGACATGTGGACAATATTTTCATTTTAAAAAAAAGTTATGTATGTTAACATAAAAAAAGCTTCGCTTAGATTCGAAGGGGTGGTTTTCTTCTCATTTTCGGGCCAATTTGACTCATATCTATAAGCATCTTATAAGATTTATAATGTTCTATATGTCTATTTGATCAGCTAGAGCAGGTACGTGTATATATCTGTCTTATCTTACTCAAAGTGACCAAGAAAATATTGAGCGCGAAATATAGTATTATCGTTTGCCACAATCGGATGAGTTTAATAATATTAATGCATCTTTTTAAGAAAGATCGTGTGTACTATATGACAATTATCCACAGGCAGTGAGTGAATAAGGTCACGCGAATTAATCGAAATTAACTCCCAATGTCAGATTTGATGGTATAGCATTGGTGTACAAACGACTATTATTACAGATATCGTTAGTGTGTTCTCAGGGTCTGTATAAATCATTTTCTAGTGTGTGGGTACATGTGAGTCTGTGGGTCGCTACGGGGCATAACGTGGTTGAGATCCCTGTCTTGCGACGTTAATGGCCTTGTGGCAGATACTGATTACCGCCATGCATAATTCATCACGAGTACCGCCTCAGCATTAGCTTTCTGAATATAAGTACATCACACATGTCTCGTGTTTAACGTCGTCACTCAGACAGAAGACGCAAATTTGATGGAGCCATAGTTTGAAGGTTGTCGACTGCCGAAGTACCGTATTGTCTTGAACAGGCGTCTGATTTGGATTTTACTCAATTAGTGAGTGAATGGTTATAGTTTTACGCCGCTTTTAGCAATATTCAAGCAATATCGCGGCGGGGGACACCAGAAATGGGCTTCACACATTGTACCCATTATACTCGATTAACACTGGATACAGTGAAGTAAAGACCACTGACATGACTGAAGATCCAGGTTAGAATAAGACTATAGCAACCCATGCTTGCCATAACAGGCGACTAACGGGATCGGGTGGCTAGGCTCGCTGCATGACTTGGTTGATGCATGTCATGGTATCCATATGCGTGGATCGATGCTCATGATGTCAATCACTGCATTGTCTGGTTTAGACTCGATTATTTACAGACCGCCGTCATATGGCTGGAATATTGCTGAGTGCGGTGTTTAACAACAAACAAACAAAACATGAAATAATCACAACAATTTGAAATAGCAAGATTTCGCTGATTTGTTTTGTTTGTTGCATTTTGCCAGTCTGCATTATTCCAGGAATACCACGGTGGCCTTTAAATGATGGTGTCTAGGCCGACAAGCTAGTGGTTGAGAAAATGAGAAACGTTCCGCGCTACCAGGTAGAATGACTGGCAATCCGCTATGTCACGGAGCCTGGCTACCGACCAATCCTAGTCGATTCTAAAGCACAAACAATAGTGAGTGAATGAGATTTAACGGGGCTTCGAATAGTATTTGTGTTCTGTCACAACATGTCAGCTTGATGTGAGAGGAAAGCCGGATACGATGAATCTTACCACAATCTTACAACTTTGAACCCCAGGATCACGGTTATGGTGCTTACAAACCTAGAAATATAACCAGGGCGATTTTGAACCACGATCAAAGGTTTCTGGCACGCCTAAGGGGCGCAACTCTGCACAGTGAATTGCAGCGCCTCAGACGATTGGGCCATCGGTCCGCCTGAAGCAAGAGAGGGCTGGTTGCGTATTCTAACACGAGTCCACACGTGTCTCTGCAACTGATTTAAGTGATTTGTGCTGTTGGTATTTGTTTGCAAATAAAAATAATTTCACCTGTTTCTCAACTCCAGTTCTTCGGGCCACGAACAGACACTATTCTGGTTAGTTTAACCAGGAATGTATGGTAAATGCAGTTTTGCGTGATCAGCATATGGTGGTCTGCATATTTTGCCTCCAACCAGACACTAAAGGAGAATGTGTGTCCCTCTGTGACCTTGGAGAAACGTCTTCTAATCAACAATAACGACTTGTCATCGCCAGAATCAGACATTGCTTTAGGCCATGGTCCAGATGTGGATGCGAGAAATTTTCTCCTGTACTGTGGGATATGGTCATGATTTGTGGGGACGAGATACACATATTTTTAATCCATGACTTTGTTTGTCAAATAACATTTTTATGTCATTTTTATCCCAGGGCAATATCAATTATATATTTTCAGGTAAATAAGATTTTCTTGACAACGGTATAAGGATATATATGGAAACGTCGTCTTTACAGCAAATAAAGAAGCTCTTATCCATAATTTATCTCTACTTTGAAATATAGTATTTAATCTCTCAATACATTATAAATAAATAGTTTTTGTCTTTTTCTAAGGGTAACTCCCAATTTTTTTTTTAGCAACCCCCCTGTATTTGCCAATTGTTTATGAAAGTGTGATTCTTTTATAATTATCCTGTTTCAGTACTTTTAATAGTGAATTACCCATCTTGTCATGACACTCCCAAATGTGTGTACTTTTTCCGAAAACGTTATTTGGGGAATGCCTCATTAATTTAAGTGAGTGAGTCAGTATGGTTTTACGCCGCTTTTAGCAATATTCCAGCAATTATCACGGCGGGGAACACCAGAAATGGGCTTCACACATTGTACCCATGTCGGGAATCGAACCCGGGTCTTCGGTGTGACGAGCGAAGGCTTTAACCACTAGGCTACCCGACCGCCCCTCATTAATTTAATGTAATGTGTGAAAAGATGTGGTTTGTAGGGGTAGGGTTTTTCAGGGATGCTTAGGCTGAAAGTTACTGTCATGCCGAATTCCTATGCTGATTGTCTGTTAAAAAAATAATTAACCTTTTCAGCAATAAAACTGTATGGATTGAACCATTACCGATAAATATACAACTTCCAATGTCATTATTCACCATACACTCTATAACATGACACATGCCACCACCTGTCACCAGTCATGCAGTACCTGATATATACAACCAGGGAGAATGATGGACAGGTGCTATGTACACAGCAGGAAGTAATCAGCTGTGGGCAGCGGTGAATGATCTCTCATTATTTCATTGGTCAATCGCTGGTCAATTAGTCTTCATCAGGAAGGTCAGGTTATTAATATACCTTAGTCAGTTCAACATTCTTGATATGTTAATCCCTTGTCAACAAATAACATATGAAGTAGTTTCTACCAGGAATGCTAATAGCCTTTTAGCTAATGAATGCCGGAGTCCCTTCAGGGCGAGTTTAGAGAAGACTAACATTCCTCAGAAATAGAATATTTGTATTTGTTAATTACAGGACAAGGTATTTTGGACTTAATTACGGGAAACTTGTGCCCATGTTTAGTTTCAATCGTAAATGTTAAACTATACAGGCTCAACAACATGATATCAGACAAGTTACTTGACCAAATCAGACAACGGATTATTTTTAATTAGACCAGACGAGAGGCAAAAATATAGACAAACATATATTCAAAATGAGTATACTATATTATTTCACTTATTATTATTTTGATTATCCAGAAACATGGTTTAATTGACAATGTTTTCAGGCTGAAATGTGAAGGTGAAGTGAAAAGGGGTTTAATGTCTGATTCAAGATTATTGCACTTATATGTGTATAGCAATTCACCCACCTAATTCATGCCACAGTTTAACATGAAAGGGGAGAGACGCTCTTGCTTTACGTCGGAGATGGTCTTGCTTTACGCAAGAGATGGTCTTGCTTTACGCAAGAGATGCTCTTGCTTTACATCAAGAGATGGTCATGCTTTATGTCAAGAGATGCTCTTGCTTTATGTCAAGAGATGTTCTTGCTTTACATCAAGAGATGGTCTTGCTTTACGTCAAGAGATGCTCTTGCTTTATGTCAAGAGATGTTCTTGCTTTACGTCAAGAGATGCTCTTGCTTTACATCAAGATATGCTTTTGCTTTATGTCAAGTGATGGTCTTGCTTTACGTCAAGAGATGCTCTTGCTTTGCGTCAAGAGATGCTCTTACTTTTTGTTAAGAGATGTTCTTGCTTTGCTTCAAATACAAATACAATTTTAAAAACACAAACATATGTTTAAAATAGGGAAAGAATAGGCCCAAGCAACCTATTCTGGGCCCCCAGCAACCTATGGTCATAAGAGGCAATTTAATGGATTGGGTGGTCAGGCTCGGTGACTCGGTTGTTTGTCTGTCATCATGCCCTGATGGTGTAGATCACTGCTCATAATATCACTCACTGGACTGTCAAACAAACATAACATAAAGCAAAGATTTAATCCAAACATTTGTCAAAACCAGTGCAGCCCAGACTGAAAGGCAAAGGGACATAATTTTCATCTTTGTCAATCTTTGCCGTATAAGATACCTCTGAAGATCCGGGATAGAATAGGTCTTTAGCATGCTTGCCATAAAAGGCAACTACGCTTGTCGTAAGAGGTGACTAATGGGATCGGGTGGTCCGGCTCGCTGACTTGGTTGATGCATGTCATCATATCCCAATTGCTTGGATCAATGCTCATGTTGTCAATCACTGGATTGTCTGGTCCAGACTCGACTATTTTACAAACTGCCGTCATATAGCTGGAATATTGCTGAGTGCGGCATTAAACAAAAAAAACAAAACCAAAAAACACTTTCTCAATGCAGGTGTCAAAGGAATCTCCAAACGATGGTTTTATCCCAATCATGAAAAACTGAGTTCAAAACAAAGAATTCAAAGCCATGTTAAATTTGAATTTTGATTTATTTGATTAATAGTTTGTCAGCACAGGTAGGTACAATGATACTCAGGTACCAGTCGCAGAGCAATCAACAGAGAAACAACATAACATAACACTGCTCAAATGATAGAAATCAAGAAATGTACATGTCAAACCTCCTGTTAACAACACAGCTCTTTCATGGAAATAAATGATGTATCTTTTCTAAGGTAAGTGAGGAATATGACCTATTCTATTTCTATCACTTTTCATGTACTTGGAATTGGATACAGAATTTGATTAATTCTGAAATGACCAGTTTCTCTAACAGTGTTTTATTTATCATATTCCTTCACATATGATCTACTGAATTCAACAGTGTGGACCAGTAGTTTAATGTTTCTGACAAGTGTCTCAGTTACTGAATTCAACAGTGTCAACGAGTAGTTAAATGTTTTCGACAAGTGTCTCATCTACTGAATTCAACAGTGTCGACCAGTAGTTAAATATTTTCGACAAGTGTCTCATCTACTGAATTCATCAGTGTCGACCAGTAGTTAAATATTTTCGACAAGTGTCTCATCTACTGAATTCAACAGTGTAGATCGGTAGTTTACTGTTTTCGACAAGTGTCTGATTTACCGTATTTGACATAATAACAGCCCTCACCACCTAGCATACTTGACACAAGCAAACCCTCCATGAATATGAATATCTAATCTGTCAAAACAGATCCTGAAGATAATATACCACACACTACAAAAATTGAAATCACCCAAACAGTGTCGTTGAGTGTAAGTGGTTTTACATCTAATTTAACAGAATTAGTAAAGGGGACACCTAGAATGGTTTGTTTGTTTGTTTGTTTGTTTGTTGTTTAACTCAGCACTCAGCAATATTCCAGCTAAATGACAGCGGTCTGCAAATAATCGAGTCTGTACCAGACAATCCGGTGATTGACAGCATGAGCATCGATCCACGCAATTGGGATACGATGACATGCATCAACCACCCGATCCTGTTAGTCGCCTCTTACAACAAGCATTGTCGCCTGTTATGGCACGCATGGTTGCTGAAGACCTTATCTAACCCGGATCTTCGTGGAATGGACTTGACACTAATCTCACAGTGAGGGGAGGCAAAATGACATGCTCAGCCCACCATTACTTTCATTCTGGAAACTACTGGGATTCAAAAGTAGGAGTGAGTGAGTGAGTGAGTGTGAGTGAGTATGGTTTTAAGCCGCTTTTAGCAATATTCCAGCAATATCACGGCGGGGGACACCAGAAATGGGCTTCACACATTGTACCCATGACGGGAATCGAACCCGGGTCTTCGGCATGACAAGCTAATGCTTTAACCACTGGGCTACCCGATGGCCCCTCAAAAGTAGGAAGGTCCCCAGTACCCCAGTCTTGTCAAAAGTGCTGACTTAACATAATCAGGTGGTCAGTCACACTGTGTGACTTGGCTAGTTGTGCCACTAACATCACCCTGATGTTTTCATTGCTGTGTGATCTATCATCCTATTTGATCCCCGGGTCCAGAGTGAGTACTTACAGCTTTGTTGCATAGCTCTAATACTGCTCACAGTGGCATAAACACTCAGTCAATCACATGGCACACAGCAATACATGCTTGTCATAAGAGGTGACTATGCTTGTCGTAAGAGGTGACTATGCTTGTCGTAAGAGGCGACTAATGGGCTTGAGTGGTCGAGACTCGCTGACATGGTTGATGCGTGTTATTATATCCCAATTGTGTAGATTGATGCTCATGATGTCAATCACTGGATTTTCTGGTTCAGACACTATTATTTACAGTCCGTGGACACATAGCTGGAATATTGCTGAATGTGGCATTGAACAACAAACAAAAATGGCACATGGCCTGCTGTCACAATCTATTTCAGTGTACAGCATGTTGAATATGTCAAATAGAGTATCATTGTTTTCCTAATCAATGTCAAAACATGTGACATTTTAAAATAAAACACAAAAATTGATAACCTTCTGACCTCACAGAGCAAACAGTTATGAATCAGCAATGAAGGTCGCAACATAATATTGTATGAATTGTACAAACAATTATTTCATTCTGAAAACATAAACAAGTATCATTTGATTGACGGCAATGTACATGACATGTACATAACTTTGATAGAGGATTGTTCCCTGAATCAACTACGTCTGTGTTGTTTTTGACAAGGAAGAACAACATCGCGGTCAACTTGTCAATACAAAAATAAACATGTTATTCACATCAACAGTATCGTCTGCAGTTCGGGGAATCTGTGATAACTTTATGATAATTGAAATATGAAACTGACATGACATGTATCACATGTGTCCATAACATTTAAACAAAGAAAGACTGTGTACAGACAGAAATATGACAGACAATGAACGCTCCTTGTTCACGAGGACAGGGGCATAGGAACAAAATGTTCGAGCCCTCTATGAAAAACAACATGATTAATAACGAATCTCGAGAATGGAATTGCATATATAGTAGACTTTACCCATTTTATCAAACAAATGATAATTTTAGTGTTAAGTCAATCTGGTTTACTCAGACCATATCAAAATCATTAAACATCCAATCACTGCTTTTTTATCTCCTAAAAAATTACCACAAAAGATAAAATAAAATATTCATATATACTGAAACACTTTGAAAACGCAAATTCCAATTTCTGTTATATTTGGCAAAATGGTCATAAAAATCAATTAAGATAATTTGGTATTTAGGCATGAGATAATCAAACACAATAACGGGTTTGAATATCATGTGATCTGTTTTGAGAAGGACTAAAGCAAAAAAAACCATCATAACCGATGCTTGAAAACATAATTATGTGTTTTCATAGTGTGTCAGTACACTGACTGATAATTTAATCTTAAGGCAAGACCACTTAAAGTACTTGCTTTACAGACTTGTGTGCCCAACATACCTAAAGATGGAGAGAAATAAAATACAGCTAAACTCACTTTTTAAAATAAAAAAAATCAGTGACCAATATTACCACATCTGTCTTGTTTCTAACACACAAACATCATTGGGGGGTTAATTTCATGGGGGAAATTCTGTTCTCTCTTTTGGTGTAGCCACTGTTAGAGTGAGGGGAAGAGACAAAATATAAATTTTGAGATACGGAAATGGCTGAAACACACACACACAAATCTGTAAATCAAGTAATTAAATTGGTCTTGACTAATTCAGAAACAATAATTACATGACAGGCATGTCCTGAAAAAAACCAAGGTGACCAGAGGGATAATTAATGTAAGACATCAAGACTATGGACAGGGTCTGTGTAAATTCTGTTCTATCTAAGGACGACACTAAAGGAAGATCCAGGGATAAACATCGCCAATATTCGGGTGCATTTTGGATTTATTTCATTTCTTAAAAGGCAGAACAATATTTTGGCATATGTGAGCTTCATTTCACACCTGAGTATTGACAATACAAAAACTGTAAAAGTGAATAAATAACTGCTGATTAGCAAAGAAACATATGATATGAGGTTTATACAAAAAGTAGAAATAAAAGTAAATGATAGATTGCACTGTGATGGTGGGGAGCTCGGTCCAGGATATGACTAGTTGTGACTACTAACTTGGTAACCATGGTAACATACAAAATGATATTTACAAAATATACAAATGCATTGATAAATTTCTTCATGTTTCAAGGAATAAATGAAATGTCTCGAATGGTGAATGAATGTCTCAAATTCAAATGAATTTATTTGAAATTGGCTACAACAACCTTGGTCACTATTTCTTTCTTATTCTTAATGATCTCATGACTTGTTTTCAATACTAAAGGACAATCAAAGATAAGGCTAGTCCAAGTGATCAATTAGTTGTGACATTCAAAAATGCCTTTCTGATCTCTCCATAAACCAACATAGCAATCCTCAGACCACTTGGCCATATCCTCAGATCACAGATTTGAAATAGTAACATGGGATTTCATGGCAAACAGGTGAGATGAATTTAGATAAAAGGTATTGATGAATACAAAATAATAAAATGAATTTGATATACCGGTAAATGTCAAAAATGAAATCCTCAATTCAAGGTCAGTTTCATTATCACAAATCCACCAATAAATCTTTATTTGAGTTGTCCAAATGATAGTAAAATATGAAAATATTGCTACATTGATTCAAAGTCAACAGAGATGAATTATTTTTAAAAAAAGAACCTGCTGAAGTTAGCATTACTAGCTGCTGAAGCCAGCATTACATACAAAGTCTACAAGGGCTTATAACTAATAATTTAAAATAACTACTCATGGCCTTATTCTGATTTTGCTAGAATTCCTAGTTCCAACTTAATCATTTTCAAAATGAAGGAATCTTTATAATCCTATCAACTGATATTCTGAAAACAGATACACAATAATCTCCGTAATTCATTTATGTTTTTATAAAAAATGCTAATATTTTACCAATATGTCACTTAAATTCTTTCCAGTTGAAAGAATTCAGGCAAAGCTTGCACATCACACATCAATTTCTTCTGGCTCCGAGTTTTCTTTTTGTAATAACCTTTTCACAACCTCGCGGTTGGCAGTTAGATTATCAGTCGATTGATGATGGTCTACATAGCTATCATCGGAACTGTCAGCTGTTTTTGAACTTGAATCACCAGATGCACTGTCTGTGCTTTTATCCTGCTGCTTTTCAAGGTCAAGCAAGGACAAATATCGCATACTGTCTAAATCTTTGGTTCGGACACATGCAGAATTATCACTTCTGCTTCTGAACAGTTTGTGGCGCCAAGTTTCTGGCTTTTGAATATTCAAGTCCCCTAGTGCTGACCTTGACCTTCGAAGACCAGCTTTAGGTTGACCTACTTGTTGTTCCAAGTAGGCTTCAATGGCCGGTCCCTGAAAGTTGTCGTCAATACTATACGTGCTTCGCGAAGGTAAGCTATGTGTTGAAGCACGTATGTTTGACAAACTGTCCTGTCGCATACTTCGAAACGCTTTGTCGATTTCTGACTCCATGCTGTCGGCAAGACTGATAGACGAAGGTGGTCGGAAAAATCCACTGCTTGCCAAGCTGCTTTTGCGACTTTTTCTAATGTAGCCATCAGTTGATGCCAGATCATCCTGAAAACGAACAGTATCCTCCATTGAGCGAATATAAGCACCATTTACAATTCCATCATAGTTCTTAAACGTTGACATCTCCGTATCACCATGTGTCTTTGTGTAAGTATCCACAATCTTATTGATGTCCGTCTCGGCCTGGAAGCGAACATATCCATCTTCAATAATCAACATGGATGGAGGCCGAGACTCATTAGTGGTACTGGGCTGTATCACAATCGGAACAATGTCTGTGCCTTCGTTCAAATATATTTTCTTCTTCTTCCCATTTGTATGTCCATTGCTTCTTTTATTTGTCGTCATGTACAAGCGATCATATTCACTCCAGCCTAGCTTATCACTTTGATCACCCTTACCTGCGCACTGGCATATTTCCAGACAGGGACCACACAAGAAACCGCATGTTCTCAGTTCTGTATAGCGAAACGGCTGTGAGGCCACATAGGCCATGATTATACACATCAAGCACTCAACAAGTCGTAAAGCTGTGTGGTACAGCCACCAAGGCCAGGGTTCTGGCTTCTTGTCGGAGAAAACACCATATACGCCTATTATGGCGTATATTTCCAGTCCTATTGTCACAAGACCTAATATGGACCCCATAAATGTGACCTTGACTGCTAAGCTCAAGGTGAACTTATGTTTATAACTTTCTGATCCACTGGGATACGTCTTTCCAGTGAGCATGTACTGGTAATTCTTCTGTCTCTTTACTGCGGAGGAATACAGGTAGCGGAATATATAAGCATATCCAAAGAATAAGAACAATCCCCAGCAGATGTAAAACAGTTGGCACACAAATAGCATAATGTTCATTCCGGCATAGGTTCCTACCAGAACATCAGTAGTGATCTGAAGAATAAAATGGCATAAGATGATGACGATCAGGACCTGAATCTTCTGCACTCGGGGTGGGACAAGTCTCATCTGTGTTGCTTGTAGCAGAGCGTAAAGCAGGATGCTGAAGGAGGATGTCAAACAAGGGAAGGCTGAGCTGTAGAGGAGATAGTTGAGCACAGGATGAAATGTTTTATTGGAGTTGTAGCCATCAACCAGAAGGAAGACAGCTCGAACGGTACACAACGTGAAGATGAGGAGGTTGAGGGTGATGAAGTATTTCTTGCTCAGGAGCCGGTTGATCTGGTACAGCTTGATCATACTGGTGACGGTGTAGAAAGCTACTGCCGCAAACAGTCCCCCCAACATGTACAGGTGGATCTCCCAAGCAATGTTCCACTTCTTCTTGGCATCCACCCAGTCAGGACCTGGTTCAGCAATAGGAATAGAGGTGGCGGAGTCTGATTTGGTGCTGGGTGTGGCTCCTTCACCCTCAGGCTCTGCGTTACCCTCTTCAGAATCAGAATCACTGTCATGAGTTGCCGGAGTGCTGGATGGTGAGTGTGTCTCTGGCACTGGCTCTGATGTTGTGCTGGACGGTTCAGAGGTGGAAGTCACTGATGTCTTGGAAATATCTATCTTGGTGATTTCATCTGTTGCAGTTTCAGCTGCTTGTGGCTCATATATCATAGGAAGACGTGTTACTGGGGTATCTGGTTCTGCTTTTGGCTGTGGGTGTGTTGTTGTTGGCTCGGGAGTCGATTCAGGGTTGGTCTCCGAAGCCTTCTGTGGTGATCTCTCTGGTGTCGTCTCTGGTGATGTTTGTGGCAATATCCCAGGTGTTGTCTCTGGTGACGTCTCTGGTGATGTCTCTGGGATTTTCTCTGGTGTTGTCTTAGGAGATGTTTCTGGTGATGTTTCTGGCGATGTCTCAGGGGAGGTTTCTGGCAATGTCTCAGGAGATGTTTCTGGCAATGTCTTAGGTGTTGTCTCAGGTGATGTCTCAGGGGAGGTTTCTGGTGATGTCTCAGGGGAGGTTTCTGGCGACGTCTTTGGTGTTGTCTCAGGTGATGTCTCAGGGGAGGTTTCTGGTGATGTCTCAGGGGAGGTTTCTGGTGATGTCTCAGGGGAGGTTTCTGGCGACGTCTTTGGTGTTGTCTCAGGAGATGTCTCTGGTGATGTCTCGGGTGTTGTCTCAGGTGATGTCTCAGGTGTTGTCTCAGGTGATGTCTCAGGTGATGTCTCTGGAGATGTCTCAGGTGTTGTCTCAGGAGATGTCTCTGGAGATGTCTCAGGTGTTGTCTCAGGAGATGTCTCAGGTGTTGTCTCAGGAGATGTCTCTGGAGATGTCTCAGGTGTTGTCTCTGGAGACGTCTCCGGGGAGGATTCTGGTGATGTCTCTGGAGAAGCCTGAATTGTTGGCTTAAGAGGAATCTTAACTGTAGTCATTATAGGAGATGTGTTTGGAACAAGTGATATCCTATCAATGGGTTTAGCAGACATCTCAGCAGTGGGTTCCGGAGATGTCTCAGATGATGGCTCTGGAGTTTGTGCCATTGTGGAAGTTTCACTCGCTAAAGCTTTAATTGCATCCCAGTTTAAAGATTCTGTGATCACAGACGTGGAGGAGACTTCTGCAGATTCAGTTACTGTTGGGAGGGTGGCAACCAATCCATCACTATTTAATGCTAAAGTGGAAGCACTAGGAGAAGTACTGTTTGCAATAACAGAGGAGGAACTCAATGTTGTAGAATGTAATCCACTGACATCACTATCTGCAGCAATTTGTGATTCTAATGAGGCCGAAGCAGGGTCATGCAACTTAGCCAAGGACGGAGTTGTCCCCAGATATGATGAGGACATTTGAGAGTGAGATTTTGTCAGGCTTTCTGGAGATTCTGAACTCACACCACTAAACCCACTTGTATGGCTAGCAGAAGTAGGGGCTGTATTGGGGTCACTTTTAGGAATGTTTGTCGAGTACAAAACTGGAATGGTGCCTGGTGAGTGCTTTGTGGTAGTATGTTTATCCGAACTAAAACCCAATGGTGAAACAGTGCTATGCTTAGCAGTGGCTGCAGACACTGTTACACTATCGGTGCCTCTTGTCAGAAATTCATCCGTGTTAATTGATCCTTTCTCAAATGGGGGGGATGTGTACAGACCATCAGAACTACCAGTTTTGTCTGGCCATGAATTCTGATCAGAATGGCTGGTGCTCGAGCCCAGTTTACCTACACTTGACTGTCCTCCTGACACACTTGAATGATCGAAGCCACTATCCTGTACACTATCAACGCTACGCTTCTGACGAGAGAAGGAAATCAAATTTGGCCAATTTGGAGCAGGAGCAGACTTGTTATAAGTCTCATTGTCTCTCCTGAGTCCACTATTGCCTTGGCTTACCCTCTCCACACCCCTGCTCTTGTAATGACTACTTAGGCCATCAAAGAATTTACTCCAGGCTGAAGAAGGAGAAATCCGCTCCCAGCCATTGTTAGCCTTGGTTTCGTGATAACGGTTTCTATAGGCGCCTCTTAGAGAATCCTTCACATACAGAAAAATTAAGTCTTTCACATCATTGTGCCCCGAGGATCTGATAAACTGCTGTGCTGATATTGATTTTGGCCTGGTTGCTGTAACTAAGTCTTTGTTGGTGAAAATAGACCCACCATACGGTTCTCTGTCAGACTTGCTTACCAACACCTTTCTTCTAAGTCCCCATGTGGTTTGTGGCATAAATTTCAATGTATTTTCTTTCGTTCTTAAAACTGGCACATTCAGTTTACCATTTGCTGAACTGCGGCCATCTTTAGTCAACCCTTCCCTTGGGTTCTGACCAGATGGCAAGACACTCTTAAATTTTAATCCATCTTCATTCAAGTCTTTATCAACGGTCTGGTACTCAATGCGAATTTCTGAGTAAAGAGCATCCACAAGACCTCTCCCAGAATTACTCCTCGTGCCTGTCTGAGGAACACCACGTGGAGTTTTTCTCACACCAACAATTTTCACGTTGTCTCCATTTTTCAACTCAAAAGCTACACTGTGATTACTCCAGCAGGTTAACACACATAAGAATACCACTAAGGATATGCTGGTCTTCATGACTGGCAGCTGCTGAAGACATTACTTCATGGAGGGAGGACACTATTGAGAGGGGTCCCACTAGACTCCATCGTCATCTGGACAACTTAATCACCAGTCATCTGTCAGGGTTTCTCTATACTGGGCATGTACATCCGTAGTGCGAGACACCAGCTTTCAACAGGCTCTTGTTTCACCTAAAATAGACAAAGTACATCAGTAAGAAATTGCACTGTAAAAGCTATTTAATAAGATACAATGCTGCCAGTCATTCTGTAACTGATTTAGCTGTCAGAGTTGTGCAAACTTTCAGAAATGGGAGACCTTTTTATAACTTTTGGGTGTCATTCATGTAAGCTCATGGAAGAATAATGGTACTTTTTTATACAAAAAACCCATCCCCAACAACAAACCATTATGACATATTGATTTTGAAATGTCAAAAACATAACTTTAAAAGAACATAACACAGATTTACAATTATACAGGTACTAATAAAATGCAATGTCATTACAAACCATTGTTAAAAAGTATTCTTGGCAACTCTAAGAGATGGAAAATGATTCCAAATAATCTTTAAATCATTCTGAACAGTTTTTACCATTATGGTTTTGATCAAACTGAAATAGTTACTGAAACAGCTGTAAAATTGTCAGTAAATACAACCTGACGAAGCCTCAGTAATCATAACACATTTACAGAATCAACAAACAGATAATGACATAATAAATACATACACAAATGTTGGATTAAATTCATCAATCATTTGTACCCAATAGAGATACACATCACTACTGACAAAACAAATTATCTTTCGAATGAAAATCAACAATCAAATAGCAAATGAATAACGACTGTCATCACCATTACAACATAATCCCACAAATGGTCACCTTTAACTTCCCACCATCAAGAACTTCTTTCATCCACAATGAAAGGCTCTATTCGCCATCATTTGCACGAGCACACAAATCCCACGATGACCAATAAGCTTTAAGGTAATCCACAGAAAAAACAACATTAAGCTCAAGTAAACCTCCCCAAATCTGCATTGCCAATATCTGTCTGATCTAGGCGGATATCACTCCAACAGTCGTCAGTATCATTCAGAATCTCGTCAATATCACCAATCGAATAGCCTGATTTTAACCACTTGATGAGCGAGATTGTAGACAGTCTGTGATGCCACAGATTCTGTGATTGTGGCAGTCTAGTGTGAGTACCCCCCTTGTAGTGAGGACCACGCTGGTTTACACTGCCCTTCCCCGCGCTGACATTCAATAAATCAATGTACATAGCACCACGAACATGTTTCGGTGTACGTTGCATGAGCAGGTCCCTGACAAGCCAGGCGTGACTGTTTCCCTACCTCAGACAGTTTACACTTATCACGGAGTACATCTACGTCATTCTGTATTAAGGCTTGCCGCTCGCTTTTGTTATATTCAAATAACTTACATAAACGTCTCATTGAGAGATGCTGTGTCAGAGCGATGGTTCAACTTTTTAACAAATCTCATCACTCAAAAAATATATATGTCTCATTATGAAGTGTAATTGAGAGCAGTGATTCAACTGTGTAACAAATCTCATCAGATTAAAAATGTTTATTTTGACATATATGGGTCATAGGCTTTCTAAAATAACATATTGCCTCAAGATTTGTTGAATTTCCTCTTAATGTCAGTCAGCTGTCTTGACTCATTACAGCAAACATTTATTTTTTATTTTTAACATTTTAAATGTATTATAACTTCTCAGGACATAAGCTTTGTTAGTGACTTCTGGCATGCTGGTTTCCATGGTAATGGATGTTATTCAAGGGGGGTTCAAGGTGTTTATTGGTGTTATTTAAGTGGGTGTTCAGGATGTACCAGGAAGATGCCGGTTTAATGTCCTTCGTCAACACAGGGAGTGCTCTACAGCGTGACACAGCATATCAATTCAGACCTTCACATCGGTTCATTTTCTGGGACACTTGAGTTTATGTCAACTGAAATATCTTAAGGTATTTTTCAATTTTTGTAATGATAGAAGAATATCCCATGAAAATTTGCTACACTGGTGAAAATGTTCTAATGACATTTATCTCTACTAAAATCACTGCAATGCCTATACCACGGTATCTAACACTATTCAGAAAGTGTTGATTTTGTCATAACAATAATTATGCACTGATAATAATCAGTTTGTTTTTGCAACTAATATTTAGTGTATTTTAAGTGTAGTATTTTGTTGGTGAGTCAATAATGTTTATAGTCACATCAGCAATATTTCAGCCACTCACGGCTGATTTTTATTCTGTTTGTTGTTTTGTTTGTTGTTTAACGCCGCATTCAGCAATATTCAAGCTATACGACGGTCTGTAAATAAAAGATTCTGGACCAGACAATCCAGTGATTAATGTAATGAGCATCGATCCACGCAATTGGGAAACGATGACAAGCATCAACTGACTGACTGACTGACCACCTGATCCCGTTAGTCGCCTCTTTCGACAAGCATAGTCGGCTTTTACAGCAAGCATGGTTTCCTGAAGACCTATTCTACCCTGGATCTTCACGGGTTCAAACTGTTTTATCAATAATGTCAATGTAAAAACAAAACATTTTTTTTCAAAAGGAAGTGAAAGTCAGCAATTGTTTGCCGTGAAGCCTGTTAATAATCAAATCCGGACAAGACAAACCACAGGAACTGAACAGACGATGCCCTTAGAGTTAAAGCCACACTCAATCCGCCATTGTGTTCCCACAAAATCAAACCCACGGACACTCATAGATGGTCAAACATTCAGCACAATATTAATATCAGATAACATGAATCGATTATGGACACATTTAACTTAAATTAGTACATGAAAACTTAAATATACTTAAACTTAACAGATCATCACAAGTATCCAATTGAGATTGACGCTCACTGATAGCCATTGATTTACAGCCTTTGAAATGACAGTACTCACGAAAGGTAAAGTCTGTAGGTATGTGGAGTTACTTCAAAGCCTTGCTATCAAGATGCTACATGACCTACGTGACACAACATAAAGCTGTTTTATCCCCTTTTGTCACCTCTGCCGATGATTGCAAATCTCCCCCAAGGCCCCCCTGAGAGTCGCCAGACCGTGACAGTCTTCCTACTGACCTGTCAACCCTGGCATGTCTACTAATCAAGAAATCCGCTCCAGTACATCAATCGAAATTGACGCGATGAAATGAGCGACATTCTTCTAACTGGACTCAAGCACATGCTGGTTGACATGTGGACAATGACATATTACTCTGTCAATCTCCGAATGAAATGAACGTGATATACACTATATATCCTTCCTTATGAAACTGACATCCTGAAATGGACAACAGTGTTTGGTACTTAAGATTCCATGTTGGTCGGCCTGCTCAGGGCATGTGAAAGTGATTGGCACTTGAAATGGGTAGAGCTCTATCAACAAAGATGCACTTGTCATTCTCAAAGACAAGCACTCAGGGTTTCAAATTCCCAAGATTACAATTTGGACAAGCATTGATAAAATTGGCAATCAATGATTCCCACATTTTCAAATATTAAAGTTCAACCATAGTTGCACGCAGAGCAGAAATAAGTGTTCATTATACAGAAATTAGGAAATGAAACATTATTTGCTCTTGAATATAATTTCAACTGTAAATATTTTTTTTCGACACAGAGACGGATGGTTTGAAACCAGAAGCAAAACATGCAACAACTGTTTGTCAATCCTTGTTTTTAAATGTAATATTTTACTTCACCATCACAAATGAAATGGGGGCGGTAGTGTAGCCTAGTGGTTAAAGCGTTCGCTCGTCACGCTGAAGAGCCGGGTTCGATTCCCGACATGGGTACAATGTGTGAAGCCCATTTCTGGTGTCCCCCGCCGTGATGTTGCTTGAATATTGCTAAAAGCGGCGTAAAACCATACTCACTCACTCACAAATGAAATGAGGCTAACATTAACACAATAAAAAAACCTTCTGCAATGAAGGGTTACCTGATGATTTCTAAAAAACAATGCATTTCTATAAATGGAAAATAAACATTAATTACCTTTAACTGTGTTACTCAACAAATAAAATAATTTACTTACAATGTAGCCTCAAAAATATTTTTTCGTTATGGAAATTAATTAATAATTATAATGTTTACTTCAGGTCACCAAACATTTTTCACTTTTGCCCAATAAACATGGGTTGAAACACCTGTAATTAAGAAATAAACAACGAGTGGGAGTTGTTTATTGTACAAAAAAACACTGCAGGGAGAATATACCATGAGGGAGGCAGCCCCGAATGGTTTATTCTCCCCGAATGGTTTATATCGTGAAATAAACCAGGCTCCGTTCTTCATTGTTCTTTGCGATTTATCGTATAGCTATCTGATATCACAGATTAAAACTGGTCTAGCCTCATAAGTGAGTGGGTGAGTTAAGATGGTTTTACACCGCTTTTAGCGATCATGGCAGGGGACACGAGAAATAGGCTTCACACATTGTACCAATGTGGGGAATCAAATCCACGTTTTCGGGGTGACAAGCAAATGCTATGACCACTAGACTACCCCCATCCCCCAAACCCCGAGCCTCACAAGACAGGAATAGACTGACACTTAGTCCCAGAAATAAAGTTATCTTATTGAACAATATATATCTACAAAATTAAAAAGATAAAATCCAAATGGAGCCCAGAACAATCTTTAACCTAGAGCTGACACAATCTAGACTTGCCAAATCATTCTAGACTTGAGTTGGACTCCTTTTCTAATTTATTCTCTAGGGTCTGGAAGAAGACTAAAGAGAGGAACTTCAGTGCTGAAGCTGCCACTATTGACTATATCCAGCTACTGATCCCTAAACAAGCTGGTGTTGTTACACTGACATTTAATTATAACAGGCGGCATGCTGGTGGATAGTAACTCATTTAGTAAGGCGATACAGTCATGTGCCAGAAAAACATGGTCACAGGCTCTTAGGTTATTATGTGTCATTCAGTCAAGTCATTCAGTGAAGTCGAATCGCCATGACTGCACTGTAGGATACACTGAACATCTCATGCTGAGCCTTTCCACTGCAGCGATGTAGACACATTCCTCCGCGGGTGCTAGGTTCATGATTCAGACGCAAGTGTAAATGTTAGCAAGCAGCAAGCTTATCATTGATAAAACCTTTCGAGCTGATGGTGCAGATGTG